TTTTTCGAAGCATTTTCTTTCTGAACACCAAATTTTTATCAGATTTTACCTATCTGATGGCCATTCAGTTGTCTCATAAACGAGAAAGACCCTTGAATTTCTATTAGATTACATGCAATGCCTTGTTAAGAGGGCTGTAGAATTCACTTTTAGGAAAATATAACTATTCTTCTCATTTAAAGGGGTTGCATTGTTTAATCTTTTTGCAAGTTACTATCATTAAGATATTAGCTTTGATAAGATGTCAAAGTTATTCATAAATTGCGATATATCTTTTTTAATGTTTTCTTTCAAGCGTCGTTTGCTTGTTTTAATATTATGTTGTCTAGACATCTAATGTTTGGTGATCAGTAGGCAATCTGGATGCCTGCCAATTGGGCCTCAATTATGAATTACATAATTATTTTTTAGATGTTAACAAACCAAATAACACATATGTTCTATGAAATTTATGAATCCATTGATCAACTTGTCTTTAGATCCTATTTATGGACTAGCAAAAAGGCAATCTACTCTATTTGCCTCTTTGTTTTATGAGTTTCTTACTTTTTGTGCATGGCAGTGCCAGTGCTTTTGAAAATATATACTTTATAATTTAATTGGAAAGCCTATTTTGATTTGAACATCACACAAGCGGCATTAACAACCAAACAATCTCTTATTTTACTTGGATATGAGTGGAAGGCTTTAATTTTTTTTCTATATAAAGCAATTGCTCAAGAAAAATTATCTACTTGTAGTTTGTCTTTGAGTGTTGTTTAGGATAGATAGACAGATAGATAGCTTGTAGTGCTTGATGGATAGCTTGTACGGCAAGCTGGATTATCTTGATGAGATGTGCACTTTTATGATCTATTTTGTTTTAGCCAATTGGGTTTAAATTTTATTTTTGGGTGGCCATCTTTAGCCATTCTGTGTTTCCATGAGCTAAATGTTAAATTGTCTGGAAGGAGTTTAGTCAATTTCAATGGTTTTGAAACACACCTTTTTTTTAGCAAAACAGTCTTTGGAAAACTATGGCTCTATAATTTACAATGGCAGTGAGTCATCCAAGCTATGATTTGTTTGGGACATTTTTGTACTATTTTTGTGGCAGGAAGAACATCCATCAATTTGAATGAAAAAAACAACCTATTTCTTTTTTTTCTTACATCATTTTCTTTAAAAAAAAGAATGCTGTTGGGAAAGCAAGATAGAAATTATGGTTGGGAAAGTAGTTTTTAAAAACTTCTGACATAAAGTAGAAAAACATATGCTGGCCCAAATGGAGTCGTGGTTGGTCTTGAGCAAATCTGTAGAACTTTTGTTTTATCAGATGAATTTAGCACAAATGCCAACTTTAATCTGCATCATAAAAGCATCAAATTATTTAGGCTTTGTTTTTTTATTAGACACAAAAGATGGTGGAAGTGTAAACTTTCAATTATTTGCTTGTTTTTTTTTAAACACGACCATTATTTTCAACCAGGTTACTGTAATTGGTTTATGATGGTAAATCATATTTTTATATGTTATTTTTGTTCCTCAATCCTGTTAGGTTTATGACCTTGAGACAAGTTACTTACAAGAATCAAATCAATGTGGGAATGTTTTGAAAGGTTTTGAAGGGTTTTTATCAGCATCAAAGAGCACAATTAAGTATGTCTTTCACACCACCCCCGCCCCATTCTCTCTCTCTCTCTGTGTGAGTGCGTGTGTACTCCCCTCCCCCCTTTACCTTTCCTCATCACTGCTTGAAAAGCTTGTCTGTTTCTGTTATGTTTCTATCCCTTTATTTCCTTACTGTTATTAATTTCTGAAATGAGCACATGTTAATTGCTCATATCAAATTTTAAATGCTTCTGTTAGAACAATGCTATTTCAGTTTTCTTGTTTTTTTTGTTGTTTTCGCTTATTGATACCTTCAATCCAATACATCTAAGTAGTTACTGCTCTGATATGAACAAATCCAAGTTTTGGTGGCCTTAATATCCTTTGCTAATGTTGGGCGGATTTGAATTTCCATCTTTATATGTACTTTCACCCAAGTTTTGTTACACATTTTGATTGCTGTATTATGGTATACTCACTTCTTTTTTCCCCTTAAATTTTGAGCAATTTCTTTAAAGGTTAAATTGATCAGTGAATTTTCTTTTAGCAAAATATTCTAAAAAATATATATTTTTCCAAATAGTCAGATTGTCTTACTAAATTTCTAATACGATTAAAATTGTATGATCCTTGCTACTGCTCATATGATCCAACTACATATGCTGATTGTTTTCATGCAATGATCTGTCATTTATACAAAAAGTGATTTAATGCTGGTTTTATGCTGTATATGTATACTTTTTAACATAATTTATGCTGTATACTTTTTAACATAATTTATTGGAGCAATTTACTGTTATTCATCTATCAAAATAACGTTGTGATTCGAACATGGTGAATTAAATAAGAAATGTAAGTTTGAATTTTATAGGTTCTGTCGTTAATCCTTAAAGAAGGCTCTCTACTTCCGAACTTTTTGTCTAAAGCATTTTTCTTCATTCACTTTTCTCATATTTAAAATGTGACATCAAAGTGAAAAAACTTACAACCAATATCAAATTAATGTAGAATGAAAAATGTCTGACCATATTTGTAGGATGAATGTGGTCCTAAATGAAGCAATTTGCAAAGAGATTCAAAGATCTCACTTATGCTTCTTTGAAAAGTTACTTTAGCTATGCTAAATAGTCCATCGATGGATTTATTTTGCAACTTTTCTGATTAAGCTGGGTGTGAACTATGATGTTGCTAGAGATTTTGCTAAATAAACTAATTTTATTAACCATAGATAATGATTAGGCAGGATTAGACTAAGCATGATGAAAGCTAATGCTTTTGGCGACGCAGCAGGGATAATAAGTAGACCTCGATGAGCAGCCTCTCTTTCTGTAGGCTTCCTCTTTCCTTGGATTGCCTTTTGTCTCAAACGAGAGACATTCTTATTGGTGGAATCATTACTCCGATGGCCGCATTCATTGTGGAAAAGAATATTGAAACATCGTTCATTCAAAGCTCAATCTATTCATAATATAAGATGGGGTATATATAATGATAACAAGGGAAACCCAATAGTAATGAAGGCGTGATTGGCCATGCATAGAAAAGAGAAGGTTTTATGATTTTATAGAATTTGAAGAGGCAGTGTAGAATTTTTAGGCGTTTTGTGAGTTTTAAAGTTCAAGTGACATAGTGGACAGTTGAATCCAAAATGTTTTTAACAATACAAAGGAGGAAAGAGTAGTGGTCACTTATATATCGATTTACCTGCCGAACTTAAAATTTTTTCTAAAATTACATATTTATTTAGATGTTGCATTGGTCTTATAATCTTCAGTTTGAATATTAGTATGGATTTGGTTTAGATTTGAGTGATAATTATGTTTCTTGTAAGCAGAAAGCATGTAATGATACAAGTGATATGAAAAAAAATTATGCCATATGATCGATGATAGGATCGTTGCTTGAAGCTAATGTATGATATTAGTTTTGGGATGGCTTTCATGATCACACACATAATCATAAGTTTTTTTATTATGACAACTTGATCTGGTCTTATGATTACAGTGAGGTGTACTGCAATTGCGAGTGCTATTTAAGTCTTCATTGTTCTCTTGGTATCATAAACTATCTTCCTGGAATTCCAATGTTGACACATATTATTTTATTTGTATTTCTATGATGATCAAACTCGTGAAGAATACAAATATCATTATTAGTTTACAACTTATGTTGGTTAAAAATGGTTGTCGATCCTAAATCATTTATTACGATGATATGTTATACAATGTCCTAATTTCTTGATCTCTAAATGTTTGAAATATGTAATTTCCTGAATTTTAGGCACTTGCCTCTCCTACCAGTTCAAAAACTTGATCCTCGTATTTAGTGGGTCTGTGATGAAGACCATTAGATATGATGAACACTATTAGATGATCCTATTTTTGTAGATAAGCTTCATAATGGTGGCTGGTCATAATAATTAACTTTTTTGTTGAACCTGATATTGGTGATCTTGTGGTTTTGCTTCGAACTTTAATGTTAAAATTGGGATCATCAAGCTCGTTTTTGAGGTTGTTTTTTCTTATACTGCTATTATTGTGATGAAAAAACAGATTGATTCAGCAAGTATTGCAAGCTTTTCTCTAGATATATAAATTGTTCCAAAGGTTTGAAGACTTTCCCTTGCTTTCTCAACAAAAACATTGGTTGAGTTTATGTTATAATTGTTACCCTAGCTGGGTTAATATTTTATAATATTGTTCTAAGAAATATGTATTATGTTTGAAACCGAATATAATCTTTATTTTTTATTTTTTTGAATTTGCATGTGATTAGAGATTTTCATGAACCAATTCCACTGCCTTATCCATCATGAAGACCATTCTTCTAAGTAAGAGGGGTTGCATGTTTTTAAAAGAAGAGTTATAATAGCTCTAGGGAAGCTGATCAATACACGACATGCATTATGATTATTTGAGTTTAGTTATAGATTATTACTGTATTTAAGATTTTTGTTTCATTTTTAATTTATTTGATTTTAAGAAGTATCTTTTTAAACTAGATGACATAATTTTTAGTCCTTTTCTTGTTTTGTTCTTACAATCAAGTAGATTTATTAATGTAAAATTATTTTGCTTTATAATTGAATTAATTTATTAATGAAATACATTGGAATCAAGATTCTTTCTTCTTAATTTTTCATCATCTCAATACATTGGAATCAAGATTCTTTCTTCTTAATTTTCCATCATCTCTCTCTCTCTTATACACACACCCTTTCTCCTTTGTATGGTTATCTCTCTCACATCTTTTACAAATTCTAAAAATCAATTTAATCGAAAAGAAAAAGTTGACCGACACACTCACGCCCCCTTCTCTCTCTCGTCATGATTGGCACGCATCTTAAAATAGGAACTGTATGGCTTTTCCTTCTTCTATCTTGTAACTTGAGGTTCTTCCACTCTTTCAATTTTTAACCAAAATTCCCCCTATTTCTTTATCTACATTCTCTTTCTATGGGTGCAATTTGACTCTCGCGCTAATAATGGGAGATTTCGAAGAGGAGGCTTTTGTTCAATTCAAATTGAAGGAAGATGGAAGGAAATCAAAAACGGTGATCAACACGGTGAAGTCCATGACACAAGCTTGAAAAGTGGGTGAATTGAATTTGATTAAAATCTCGTGAAATTTCAATCCCTGGTTTTTTAATGCTTGATGCTTGAATTTTTTACCCCCCTTAAGCTATTTGGACTTACATAAAATGGGACATGTGATGTGCTGTATGTAGGTTCCGAGAGATAGAGATCAATGTTTGTGAATTTTATGAGAATTTTCAAATTAGGTAATGTTGCAATGTAAAAAAAAATAAAAAAGGTATGACTGCAATTTATTTTACTTTCATCTTAATTGTAAGATATAATCAATGCAGAGTTTTACCAGCATTTCGATGCAAAAAAAACGTGGAAAATTTTCATGCATACCACTCAATTCTTATGCGGTTACATATCTAACCCCTAAACTTCAATTTTTACATACATTCCATCTTCGCTATGCATGAAAAGGTGTATTTCACATTTTAAAAGTTAGAATGGGGGTATTTTAATGTGATTTGAAAGATTTGGGTCATATAAATGTAAAAATTAATATTTAGGTTTTAGATATGTAAATACATGAGAATTGGTTGGTATGTATGTGAATGCCCCAAAAAACTTTTAACTGGGAAGTGCCCAGTTTTTCAATGCTGAAAACTTGGAATGGGATACACCTTTATTGATCAAGCTGTAAATGTTATAGCTTCCATTCAGATGAATTAACATTAAAATATGCTCCTTCTATTGGTATGTCATCAATGGCCAGTTTGGCATTTATATGTTCCTGAATGTATTTTTTCTTGTGACTATCTGACCTTTCTTTGTATTGGGTAATTCACTTGTATTTTTCTGAATGTTTAGGGTCCACTTCTGAATGTTCTTATGAAGTATAGTTTCATATACATACATTATCTCGTACCAAGTACATGTAATTCAATCATGTGATACAAGTAAACCTTGTTTCCATTCTTATTTTATCAGCCTGAAGCGCTCAAGGAAGTTTCAACCTGAAGATAGAATATTTTCTTTGTCATCAGCAACCTCTCCAGCTGTACGTGTATCTTCCCTAATTTTTTATTTTCTTTCTCACGATGATAATGATGCAGGATAAGCATGAAAAAACCATAAATTGACTATATAAGAAGAGAAGTTGAATAAATCTAAAGTGAAGTGATCCGAGTGAGCAAATAACAATAAATCAAAACTTTGCACTTTTAAATAGAGTTCCTTTTTTAAAAGATTTCAACTTTTGCACTTGATTAATGGTCAAAATCTGAAAAATATATAAAGTAGGAAGGTGTTCATTGAATTTGTCAACACTGAATAGTAACACTATTGTGTGAAGTTTCAACTTGTGCATTATTTATAAATGCAGTGCAAAATACTTAAAAAGTTACGGATAATTTATTAATAATACAACAGTATAAGAGAATATTTTAATACAAACAAGTTACTATCAATTTCATATAAATAGAACATGATAATTCTTTAACATACAAAGACGTTAATGATTTAATACAAACAAGTTACTATCAATTTCATATAAACAGAACATGATAATGCTTTAACATACCAAGACGACTAGATTAAAAGATAAATTATCATAACAATAAAAACCAAATTTATGTGTAAAACTAGCATGAACCAAATTAGAATAAACGAAGTAAAACATAAAACAACCAAAACTGAGTCAAATAATAAGGAAAGATGAGGGAACATAGTTACATGCAATGATGCAAAATATGGACGCATGCCTAAGTGACTTCTTGCAGAGAAGATTTATAAGGTTGTTTTAAGTGAGCCCTTGTGTTCAAGGCTTGGAAAAAGGTTGCATTTGAATTATGAATGTTAAAAATGTAGAGCTTTGCGTTCAGATCAAGAAGAAGCTCTTTATTTGTAGAAGAGCTATGGGTCCATCTGTGTAAAAGTTGTCATTTCACATAGTTCTATAGGTTAATGTTATTCCATTATTAATTTGCAAGATTGCATTTGGAAATCTGTGTGAAACCAGCAAAAATGAGTTTTTGATGCCAAATTAAAAATGGCCAAGTCAGAGACAGGAGGATCAGGTTTTGTGGACAGAGACCCAAGAGAACATGGGAGAAGATTAGTCATAATCCATAGGGTGTGGAGATTATAATATATTAGATTTAATTCATTTGCAATGATTAGATCCAAGCTTTGAATTCTTTTTTTTTAAATAAGGTTACAATGAAAATATTTATTATTCAAATCCAAATATAATCTTATCTTAAACTAATCTAATCACAATGATTCAAACTCAAACATGAAGATTATTCAACAAGGATAATTTATCTTATAATAAAATAAATGAAATCTAAAATTCTAATTTAAAGAAATAAATTTATGATATTGAAAATAAACTTAAAGCTTACTTTTTGTGTTGCAGCATTGTTTGATATCATTTTTATCTTTTAAATTTTTTTGATTGATTATTTCACGTCTTGGTTTATATTTTGTCTCTTTGTTTAAATTGTTAAGAGCTATATTATCATGTCATTTGAGGATTTGTTTGATTAGTATGTATTATCTTATTTTAGATCCTATATTATAAAAAGGGAACCAAGGCTCTTGTAGTAATATTAAGGTGATTGAAAATATGATGTTTTCCATCTCCACTTAAATTATGAGCAGATCAATTAGGCATTAGTTTTTCACTATTCCCCTACACAAACATACAAAAGACAGAATTTCTATAATTATCTTATTATTGCTTAAAAATTGCTTTTATAGCTACTTACTCAAAATCCTTATAAAGATTCTAATTTCCTAACTAAACCAGCTTAATCACCCTAATCTTGTCATTCATAGCTACACCCCTATCCTCGATCTAATAAAGAAAACTAGAGAAAATTTGCATAAATGTGCATGTTCTTCTCGTACCACCTAATAGATTTGTTTCTACTTTAAGGATTAGATCACTTACAATTTATGGAATTAACTTCCATATTTTTTAGTAGAAATCCTTTTTCCAGGTTGCTTAGCTGTTTTAAGAGGTTCCGCAGAATGAATTTTCTATGGATGCACACAAGTGTTGTTTGCTCCATTCTCTGAGGCCCTTCATCTCTTTTACCCAGGGGCTGATTTTTAATCAATTTTCATCTTTAGGAGATGATTTATTATTTTGGCACAGCAATGGAAGGCCTTTTTTGTTTTTTACTTCTTTAATAAGCTGGGCTTGGAGGGATTGAAGAGGAACCATTATGGATTTTGAGTTTATGTCACAACACTCTACCATTTTTGTCATTTTTTATTGATTATTTAATGCATATTTTTTCGGTCCTAAGTTGCCTTATTTCAATTGTCAAGGGCAGTATTGCTTAGTCATTCTAGGATAGGATTATCTTAAAAAATGGAAGCCTGAAGGTCTCGTAATTACTATTTTAATGATTGTAAGGAAAATATGATGTTCTGTATGGCTTTTGCCTATTAGCTGTGCTATATTTCATAAAAATTTTCACGGCCACCAGAAGCCTTCTGTTGTGAAAATAGTCACTTCATGTTATAAATTTTCACTCTGCCCCAAATAATTTAAAGCTAGATTGATTCAATTTTTTTTATTACATTTTAATTTCGTTTGTCAAATCATGGATAATATTATCTTATTTCAGCTTCATTTTTCAGGTGGAAGAGCACATATCTGGACGAGATGGTGAGGCTGGCTTTCAGTTGTTACGGTATGTTGATTCTTTAGTATCTAATATCATCTATTTTATATAGCCGAAGGAAGGTCCGATTATGCACCTGGTCGATTAAAACTTGGAAGTACCCCTGCAAATGGACAGTAAGTAGCTTAATCTTCTGATTACTTGAAACCTGTGATAATGCTGGACTTCAGTAATGGTGAAACTTTTCTGCTCCCCAGTGCAGTAGAAGAAGCTCATTTGACTGAGTTCAATTGAACTTCTAACGGATTAGGAATTTTTGGCAAAGAGAATGGATTGAATAAATGGGCTCTTTCCAAGGCATTCGAGGCTGATTAGGTGGCCTTGCCATCTCTGAACATCGCCATGAAAATGTTTTAAAATTGCCTAAACTAACCATATTGATACAAGAAGCTCAGTTTCTTACGAATGCTGTAAAATGAGAGGAGAGTCCTGCAATGGTTTTGGCATATTGTAGCATACTAAAATTTTAAGCAGCTTGACACAATAATTAGAAAATTTTCCATATTGTGAAACTGAAATCTCTTGATTTCAGCTCGAAGAGTCAAGAGAGAAAATTTCTGGGGTGTTTATTTAGTGGCCTTTCTGGGCACCTCTAAGTCACTTGGTCTCGCTTAGCTGTGGGGAAAAAGTAGCTTTTTCGGTGTGGCTTTAATGGTTATTTCCAAATTATTCTAGTCAAACTTGTGGGAATGAAGAAATTTCAAGTTTTTGGAATAAGGATTGTTTTGCCAATGCAAATGTAGAAAATAATAAATATTAGTGGGAAAAGTATATTTTCATTATTCTAATTTTCTGTATGGGTAACATAACACAATTTAATGGTAAGCAAGACATAGCACTTGTCTATGTTTGCTTTGTACATGCTGCTGATACCCTAATTGTATATGACTGCATCATGAAATTACTATTTGCATCATCATTTTCATCAGAGGGAAGCCGAAGAAAGGTGGAAGGATTTCACTAAGAGAGGGAAAGAGACTTCGACCATCCAACGAGCAAGAAATTGAAGATGAAGATGATGCTGATCTAAGCTTGAGATGAGGTTCGCAAATCACTTTGATTAGCGTAAGTTTGCATGGTTTAAGTTCCACCTGTATTATCTTAATCTGGATGTTTTTTTAGCCTTTAGACACGAGTGTACAATAAATTTTACTTAGATGAAGTTGTAATATGCATAGCGGACTAAGTAGACTTGAATAATGACACATCATGTAGTAATAATTTTTTTTTTCTTAAATCATTTAGTAATGAAGGTTGGAAATATCAATACATAGCTTTTATTGTTGAATTAGTGTTAGCTGTGGTAGTGTGCCTACTTAAACTTAGGCCTCGTTTGGGGATGAAGGTTGGAAATATCAATACATAGCTTTTATTGCTGAATTAGTGTTAGCTGTGGTAGTGTGCCAACTTTACGTTTTATAAAAGCCCCTTTAAATGTAACTTTAGAAGAAACAAGGATATAAAGTCTCTCTTTTTCTGAAGTCAATTTCTTTTTGTAATACTAATCCATTTTCAGATGAGGTTAGGGACAGTAGTGATAGTGGTTTTAACCCAGACGATTTAAGAACAACATTGCAATAGGTTTGGGAACCTCAGTCCTCACCTAGAGAGAGTGGTAGAGAGTAGGAATTATATATCCAACTACAAACCCAAATCGTGTGTAACAACCCTTTCAGGTGAGTACTAGAAGCAGCCAACTTCTATCCATACAGTATGTTGCTCTTGATTTTATCTCAAACCTTGCAATTCAAAGCATTTTCCAAAAAGATCTGGTTTAAGATTATTAATACAAAATAGAAAGTTTGTGGCAACTCTTACCCATGATTCAAACCTTGTTCAAGGCCCAATCATGCAAAAAAAATTTGCATACAGAGTCCGGTAACACAACTTAAAGTATATTTCACTGAACCCTCTAAAAAAATTAAAAATTTAAGTCGAAAAGCAAGCATTTTTTAAATTTTGTATATTGCTTAATTTTATTGGAGTCGGAGTTCCCACTGCCTATGTAAAATTTTCTCCAATCACGAAGGTTTGATGAAAAAGGTCATTTGTAATTCCGCAACCAGAGGTACGTAAGATTTATTTCTTTTATTTTAGTTTTTTTTTTAATGCATTGAATTACTGCGTACGTTTTATTGTTCTTAGCATTATCTGCTCTTCCATAACGAGTTGCATAATATTTATGACCATTCAACTCTATTTATTTTGTGCATTCCATTAACATCTATCAGCTACTTATTTAGCTGCTAGCCTTAATTAAATCCGGGCGCTTCTAAAATAAGGCATTGCTTGTGTGCAAAAGGAGAAAAAATATAAAAATAGAAATTGTGAATCTAAACCTATAAAATGAAATAAATTGGCTTTAAAAAAACATTTTTTTTTTTTCGTACAGCCCATAGGGTTATGTAAACATATTTTAAAATATGCCCATATATTCTCCTAATGGAGAAATTGGAATAAATCTTCACCCCTAACCCCGAACATATTACGTCGAATTTTAAAAAAAAAGGGTGATGAAATGTAAATAAGTTTCAATTTGTAGTTGTAGAATACTGATAATAAAATAAAATACAATGTTAAAAAAAATACTAAAGAAAAGCTGAATCCTACATCATTCATCGAAAATAGTTTATTAACAATTTTATTTTTTTTGAAATTCGAATTATGCTCAATCATAAATAAACAAAATAAATAAATAAAAAATATTCACATGTTTGTCAGTCGTGCGGAGCCATGGTCTCTTTGGATGGAAAAATTATTCAGTTTGGAGACCGCACACAGGGTTACGTGCGGTAGCAAATAAAAAAGGGACACCTGAAATTGAGGGACAATCATAAAAAAAAGTAAGCAAAAAAAATTATTTACCACTTTTTGATCCAGCCAAATCGAACATTTTGTCATTTTGGATCCCGCCAAATTGGAAAAAAGAATATTTTGACTCTTCAGGTTTAGGGTTCATGAATTATTTTCTTTTTCCATTTGCGTTTGTATTGAACAGTTAGGGTTCTTCTGATTGATTTCTGTCTCGGCCAAGAAATGTTGATGAAATCGCAAAATGATTGCGAGAATGATGCCAAAATGAGCTGAGCTCATTAGCTGCGGTCGGAAGCATTCCGCAGGTGAACTTATTTCTATGTATTTACTGGTGCTATTAATGGCGTCCTAATGATAGTATTGTGGAGCTATTCTGGTGTGATTACTGTATTATTTGATTGCAACATTACTGTTATGTTAGAGGGTGGACGTGATGTTATTTAAGTATTATCATGGTGTTATAGTTTTGGTAATGATTGTATTATGGTAATGTTTTGATAATATTTTGGTTATATTCAATACAGACTATAATAAACAGACAAAATATTTTAATCAAACATAGCTTATTCCAGCCGTATTTAGACAATATTATGATAAATTAAAATTGGGTGTTATTTAACGATAGTTGGGTGTTATGTAGGCTTTGTCATGGGGATATACTAGTGTTATTGGATTTAATTAATGATTTTACTGGTGTTATGTTGTCATTGAAATTAGTGTTATTATAATAATATTATAATATTATTTATGTATTATTGGTTTTGAACTATACATTTGTGTTATTATGGTATTATTTCTGTATTTTTATGGTGATATTATGTATTGTAATATTATTTATGTATCGTTTCATACTAGTCTTACTGGATTTATTAATTGATTTTGTTTACATGTTATTTTTGTCATTCCAATGGTGGTATGTTGAAATTTACAGTTCCCCGAGCCTGTAACTGTGTGCATTGATCCAATTGCGAAAAGCTTGCTTCGCGCAGTGGTTCATAATGAGAATGAAGCCCATGATCAATATTGTGCATTTGTACACCAAATTGAATTCATTGTGCGAAAAGACCACGTTAGTTTTTGGCCGAATTAAAAAATGATTAAGATAAAGAATTTCATTTGTAATAATGCTGATTTCAAGAAAGAATTGAATAACAATGTGCTGGTGAAGTACAGAAGAGGGGACTCAAGAACTGGTTGTTCAGCCATGATCTGATATGTCGTCGATGTCGAAGGTAATTGGTCGGTTAAAAAATTTATCAAAAAGTCATAATCATCCTTTGGCGGCGGACGGTGACAAACATCTACTGCGTTCCAGCAGAAAGATGAGGATATCAATAAAAAAGTGCTCAGATCGATGACACAATCAGAGATTAGAACAAGCGATGCATTTATTTTTCTGGCTACAAAATTCAGGGGTGTGGAAAATCTTGATTGCACGAAGAGAATACTTATAATTTCATACAAAGAGAGAAAAGTTAAAATTGAACATGGGGACACTAATTCTCTACTACGATTGTTCAAGCTAAGGATATGATGTTTGCATGGGACGTCTAAATTGATGATTCTGGTAGTTTGTTGAATTTCTTTTGGAGTAATGATATATCCAGATTTAATTACGATTAGGATGTCATAATATTTGATATAAGTTATAGACTAAATAAATATAATTTATGTTGTGCTCCTATTATCGGTGTGAACCACCACATCAAGAATATTCTATTTGGAGATTGCTTTTGGTCAGATGAAATAGTTGACTCATTTAAGTGACTATTCAAATCATTTATCCGGACGATGGATAACAAGCACTTGATAACAATATTCACTGACAATGATCAAGAAATGGTCAGAGTCATTGAAGAGTGTCTTCCACACACCAGACATAGATTACGCCAATAGCATATTTACAAGAAATTGTTTTCAAAAGTCCATTGTGGTGGGAGCACCAAGAGAGTCAATGAGCTTTTTTATAAATGCATGGGTAGATGCAAATTTGAGGAGAAATTGTCCTCAAAAGTTCACTTTGGCACTTCTCAATTTGGCATGCCGATCAAAATGACAACTTCATCAGACATTATTCTCGGATTTTTCTCACCCATTCTGAATATCATTTTTTCATGTTGTCAACATTGCAATATTTGTAGCATCAAGACATTATCTTGGGGTTAAGGTGGGAATGAGTTCACAAACCTACATAAAACAAAATAATGCAAAAAATATTATGATTCATATAGTCATTTTTAAGTTATTATTTCAGTGTTATTTACTTTTTGTTAAGGTGTTCAGTGAAAGCGGGTTAGGTAGACATGTTTTATTTTGCGATTATTCTGGTAATATTTAGGCATTACTATGGTATCACTCAAGTATATTTTATAGAATTATTTAGGTGATATTATGATATTATTTACGTGGTGTTATTTGGTGTTAGTTGGTTTTATTAAAGAAAATCACGTATTATAAATGGAATCATTATAGAATTATTTAGGTATTATTTTAGTTGTATTATGTGGTGTTAGTTGGGTATTATTATTATAATTCAAGTATTACTCATGTATTAATATAATATTATTTAGGTAATATTTCGATAGGGTTATGTGGTATTAGTTTGGTATTATGATTAAAATTCATGTTTTATTCCAGAATTATTCTGGTATTATTATGATAATAATGATTGAACTTGTGATATTTAGTGCAGAAAACTCTCAAATATTACCCAAAAACAGTAAGTCAGCTAAATACCTGAGTGATTTGTTACTCAAATACTACTAAAATATTACTCAAATACTATATGGATGAATTTCTACACTGTTAATATAGTCATGTCAATGAAAGAAAAACCACTAAAATAAAAATTACAATTCAAGTATTACTCATGTATTAATATAATACTATTTAGGTAATATTCAAGTGATATTTTGGTAGTGTTATGTGGTATTAATTTGGTATTATGATTAAAATTCAGGTTTTATTCCGGAATTATTATGACATTATTTTGGTAATATTGGTTGAACTTAATGATATTTAGTTCAGACAACTCTCAAATATTACCCAAATAGTACTACAATACTACTCAAGTATTACTAAAAAACAATAAGTCAGCAAAATACCTGAGGGATTTGTTACTCAAATACTATTAAAATATTACTCAAATATTATATGAATGAATTTCTACACTGTTAATATAGTCTTGTCAATGAAAGTAGAACTACTAAAATAAAAATTACTTGAATGAACTCTCTTGGATTTCCTTCTTACGTTTTTTCTCTTACGTTCTTTCACTTCATTCTTCTAGCATTTATCAGCCTCCATTTTTGGATCCTCTTCATTTTTCATTATCAACAGCTCTTCGGTCTCCATTCTCACAGGACTCTTTTCAGGTTTCGTCTGCATGGGCTCAGATTCTATCTTGGTAAGGAGAAATCGCGACTACTTCAACCGGTGAGCAACAAACAACAAAAAACCTTAAGCTTTTCTGAATCTAAAACCCTAAACAATTGTCGAATGAAGGTACTCTGCGCTCGGGTGACGTTTAGCTTTCCGAAATGATGACCTGATGTTTTAGTGAGGCACGCGGTTTAATTTTTATGTGATTGGATTGGATTCGGGTCAGGTCGCACAGTAAGAAAATAAAAATTTAATTTTTTTTAAAGTTGAGGCCTGCATCTCCACGTGTCATGTTTTAATTGGACGCTACACAAACTTGTGTGTTTTGTCCGCACAAAATAAGTGCTCCTTCAAATGACGCTAAGTGTCAAATATCAAATATACAACCGATAACTTCTTTAAATAAAGCCAGCCTGGTTTTTTCAATTATTTCGTTACCACATTCTTATTGCCTTTTTTTTTTTTTTAGTAGGAAAATTTACATACATACCACTTTGTTGATATGCATTTACATTTGAACACCAAGACTTCATTTTTTTTTTCTTTTTTCTTTTAAATATGCCATCTTACTGAGATGAGACTGCTCAGGCGGATGGGTGGCTTGACATTTAAAGAGAAAATGTAAAACAAATGTATCCATAAAAAGGTTTGTGTAGCTCCAATGGCAGGCAACATTAGAGTCGTTTAGATGATTTAGTCACATTAACCCTAAACCCTATAATCCCGTTAAGGGAACGGATGCTTTGGAAATAGAGACCTAAAAAAAGATTTGGGCATATAAAAAATGATTTTAATTTATTAAAATTAAATGAAAATATGACACAACAGAGAAAAAGGATTCATGTAGGTAACCCCACTTAGTGGTATAAAAGCTGTGTCATTGTATGAAAGGTGTCGGTGGTATAAATGAAAACACTAAAATTTAAGTGGGGGCGGTATTCGTGTAAAGGCCCCCTCTAGCATCAATGGCCCGTAAAGACAAATGAATGGCGTGTTGTTGCATGTGACAGTAACCGAGGTACAAGTAAAAATTGAGCCATAGGTAAGTTCACTTTTTGAATACCAAAGCCAAAAAAAAGAAAAAAAAAAACAAAAAAAAACCAAACAAAACTAATCGTTAATTATTACTTTATAATTAATATTTTAACAAAATGAAAAAACAAACTGAAAGAATACGAAAAAGGTAAATAAAAAATTTACTTTTACTGGCCAAATTTGTAATTGTGCAAAAATAAACTTTGAAAGCATTAAATGCTGAGCATTGCGGCCAATGACCGCTGCAAATGCACAAACAAAACTAACTCATCAGACTCCATTAACATATTAATAACTTTGTGACTGAAATGATTATATTAATATTCTCTCCCAATACTGATACTTGTTATTGTCACAACAATAACTATCAACTAAAACCTTTTTTTTTTCAATTAATTTGCGAATCTCATAAACGGTTAACCTCTTGAAACAAAATAAGCAAGAATGGTGAGATGTAGTCAAATTAATGGCTTCCCTGATATACTTTGAGACTCATGATTCCATAAGACTGAAATTGGATTTTTAACTTGTTCCATTATCACACCCGCATGTGACACATGAAATATACAGAATAAAGGACTAACCAAACATCCCAGCATGATATCAATGCCTCCAAAAAAATAATGTTACAGCAATCAAATAATAATGGCTAACAATGATAAAATTGAGATTAATAAAGAGTAAAACAGGTTCCTCTCCAAAATGCAGAGACATTTGGTTCTAAGAAGAGAGCCTGAAAATTCCACATACCCAGCATAGGTTCCTCCATGATGACCTGGCCGATCTGGAGTAGAGCTTGAACTGATGTTTTTGCATACCCCAAATGGGCCCCCAGGCTGCAAATCCAACACTGAATATATTAAATTACTTAAATTATCTGGAATATTTTTAAATGGTATAAAATGATGATGCCTGCATTAAATTATATTGGGTCAAATAAAAAATGAGAGTTTCCATGCATTTCCATGTTCTATAATCTTGCAAAATTGATTATTTAAAAAAAAAAAGTATGGTTAAACTAACAAATTTTTAGGATGTATAGCTTGCATATAATGCCTATTTGGTATGTGTGCAAGGCGCTTTCGCCCCACCTAACCTTGCTCATGTACCTAAGAGAGTGTCTCTTATCTTCAGAAATTGTTAGATCTAACATATATTAATTGGGAAGTCACATTTAAAGAAAAAAAAAGCATAAATCATGCACAAGTGGGCTCCAAAAGTTCATGTCACTTAGCAAACAGAATTTTCAAGAAACAGATTGATGTAATCAAATGTGCACTGGTGTTAATGATTTCATTTAGATCTAACTCCCATGCTTAAACACCTCTCCTGTTCAGAAAAGCACTAGTGATTAAGGATATTGCCAGGCTCAATTTGTTCTATAGGTGAACCCATCTTATTACCGTTCCATCAACATTAAGGTGCAAAATGAAGCGGTTTATGGTGATTTAAGTGAACACTTGCCAAGATCCAATGGTTCTATCATCCAAAGTGTCAATAGGAAAACCTGAGTTAAGAGAACGATAGAACGTCCAATGCAACTAGTCAGTTTCAAGCTATGGAGTTTTATGTTGCGGCAGAAGTATTAGTTCAGGAAGGTCTTTACAACTATTTACACAATGGTGGTGAGAAAGCTAAAGTTTTATTGGTAGTGAAATTAAGTTAAGAACTGAGTTGCCTCATCCAAGGAGGTCCCATAAAGACCCAGGTTGGTGGCATCTTAAAGGAAAACATAACTCCTTGAGATTCAGCTTTGAGTATGTCCTATTAGCAGAGGAGTTGTAATGGTGGGTGAATTGGGTGGCTTAGAGGCGTGTAGCATAGTCAGTAAGGCTCAAAAGTATTGGGCATGACCAATAACAACTTCCAGAGATATCATAGCCATTATAGTTCTATGAAGCTTATCACTAGAATAGAATGACACCGAAAAAAGACTTCAATCTCTAATGAGACCTAAAAAAAAAACTTCAATGATCTCATCAAGGATGTCTCGTCGAAATATAATTCCTAGCTCCAGGGTTAGACCAAATGATCTGAGGATTAGGAGGCATAGGCAATGTGCCTTATCATCATGTCAAAGTTTTCCTAATGAATGTTATCCAACATGAAGGAATGCTGTTTACCCTAGAAATTTCTCAAAGGGAGTTGTAGCCTTGATGACGTAAGCACTAAGCTTACCTTGCTTAGCACTTAAACCCATTAACTAAGATAACCAATTGAGGCATTGGGCTTATAGGCCACATAAGCAAATGTGGACACCCAGTTCACTAAACAACATAGATCTCCTAAATATTAATAGTGTTAATGCAACCACCATATAGCTTAACAAAACTCTAGTTGGTCAAATTAGGGTGGTCACGCCTAGCTAAACTCAAGATGAGACCCATTGGCCCAACATGCCCCTTAATAGACCTAATATGATCACAACTGACTTGCCTTGGCCCTGGTTAATCTAGGTTACTTTAGTTATTTGATCGAGTCCAAAATGACCCAGACAGCCCCATGACAAAAAAGCCTTGCCCAACTCATGCATGCCCCAAGTGACCTAATTTGACCCTAGTTACAAACTAAACATCTTTCAACGTGACCATAGTCCTAAATGGCCCAACTAAAGCCAAAATTAGGGCCCATTTCGGGCAGCTTATTGGGAGCAGTGGAATTTTCAAAACGCCGCCTCCCTGTTTGATAAATACGTTCGGCGCTGCTTAATACTACCGCTCAGACGCACTTTGACACTTTTGTTAATAGGTTGAGAAGCGGAGAGGAGGCCGCGTCCAGCGTCTGATTCGCGCATTTACACGAAGAATTCCTCCCGTGCCCTCTGCGCTCCCCCTCGCCCTAGCTCTCGATCTCGTTCAGCTGAAGAATGGTGTAAATCAAATCTCGCCCTAGCCCTTGACCTTCGAATTCCTCTCCTCCCTCTCGGTCTTTGATCACACGCTCCTCTTCTTCCCTGTCCAGCTTTCCTTCACGCGGCTGCAGCGGGTCGACAGCAGAGGATCTGCAATTTTTACTGTAGCAAGCGAGCGACACCAGTGAAGACGCAGAGCACCGCACCTCTTCCCCTCTCCCTATTCGTTTCAAGCAGGCAGTAGGAGCTGTGACCCTTGCTACAGAGCAAGGGCGCGAGCAGCAGGTCGAGCGGCGCATAGGGTGGTCAAAACTTGTTGTAAGGAGCTTCGGGAATGAAATTAAGCGGGACAAATTTCTGTTCCTCGCTATTCTAGACTTTGATTTCCTTCCTCACTTCCGTTTTGTGATTTGCCTCATTTTTTATGCACTATTCGTTTCTGGTAGCAGTGGAGGCGACGATTTTGTGAAGAAAGTCTCGAATATGATATGAAGAATCCCAACTATTGTCCATATAATAGACTCATTGGTTTTATGAAGAATCTCAACTATTGTCCATATAATAGACTTCTTTTTCACTGAAATTAGCTAATTAATTGATTTTTTTAAACGATGTAAGACAGTTGCCAATCAAGAGCTACTTGAACGAATATATTACTGTATAGTTTACAAAACTTGACTTCATATTCATTTTTCAATCGATCTTATAAGTTCATCTTCCAAGGACTTCATATTCATTTTTCAATCGATCTTATAAGTTTATCTTCCAAGCTAGGGCAAAATGATCATTTATCCAACAACAACTGTCAATAAGTTGTCTCAAACAACAAGTTAACTTATTCTGATAATCTGCAGATTATCAGAATAATCAGATTATCAGCAGATTATAAATAATCAACAGCTCCCCCAAACAGACCCTTAATCTACCATAAGCAACATTGGCTTGATATGGTCCTAAGTGACTTAAGTGGCCCTAGTTATCCCATGAATGCTTATCTAAAAACTACTCCTAGTTAGACCAAGAAGGTCGTGATTGACATTAGTGGATCCAGGTAAGCGTTGAGTAGACTTAATGGACCCAACTGATCTAAACAGTCAAGACTAATCCTAATTCAACTCACTTCAGAGTTCTAATCAAATTCAAGCAACCATAATGCAGCCAAATGACCCTGAGTTGCCCAATTAAATATTTAAATGAACTTGATTTCTCCTTAATTATTTGAACAATTAATAACTTAATTTAGTGAAGCCTTGAGCTCACTTAGTACACAAAAGTGGTACAAGTGCTTGTCCTCTCCTTACCATAGGAATCAAAGCAACAAAGTTATGTGCAACTGCATGTTGTTGCCACAACGGCCATTAGGTGCTAGTAATGTTGACAAAAGTAGTTTTTGACACCATCCACTAAGAAACCCCTTAGGTCTTGCTTTCTTAGTAGTCCATTAATATTTTGTGTTTAAGACGTACATGTTGGTGCATGCCATCAAATTATAAAAGTTTTTATTTTTTGGAGTTCCTCAATTACAAATTTTGGACCATATATATATTTATATATATAATCCACTTCAATGTTTCATCACGAGTTTTGAATGATTAGAATTTAAAATACCTAAAAAAATCTAGCTACATTTTATACTAACAATGATTTTTAACCATTTTACATTTAGCATTCAAAATTATACTGAAAGGTAAATAGAGATGGAGTGAAAAGAGCTCCATCCATATAAAAGGATAGCAGTCTTAATTTTCAAGGTTCAAAGGATTTGAAAAAGGAATTTGGCACTGTAACTATCAAGTAGGATGAAAACATGCTTAGGAGCCTTTAGCAAGGGCCCACTTCTTGCTGCAATTATTCACTATCTTGGTTGAGGGTAGATCTTCTCTCCAGTTAAAGTGCGCAGTGATTGGAGGTGTCAGAGTATAAAGATTTTTTAATAAACGACACCATATTGTTGTGAATATAAAATGATGCTGAGCTGGTCAAATTTCTCAAAAAGACACCATCTTTAACATAAGCAAAACTTTCTACATAAACACACCCAAGAATTGTGAAACTTTCCCAAGGAATTATCACCTGTGTAGAGATTCAAAAGCTCAAATTAAACAATAAACTCAAAGGCTTGAAAGCAACTCGACAAAACTTCCTTGAGCAAAAAAAGTAGGGAAGAGAGATAGATCTCACCTTACACACTAACGATATTAATAATGTTGGGAATATGGATATTCTCATACTTTGGTGAAGTCTATGGTAGTTGATCAAACCACCTCATCCTTAAGATCTGTGTTGGACCAAAATGTTCATTGATTGAGAGCACTTTGGTACTCTAAAAAATCTGACAGTGAAAAATTACACCAAGTTACCCTATCCATTTTACATCATTGTATTTAGAAATATATTTGATATGATGAATTTAATGGAGACGTACTTCTTCATGAATGTTGGTCTAGTATTATGGTATGGAGGTTAAAGAGATCATCAACCATGTGTGTGTGTGTGTGTGTGACATCTAGAGATATTTCTTCACTAAGAATCTATTTACCTTTATAAAAAAAGATCTAAGTAGCAAACTAAACTTAAGTTTGAGCATTAATCCATCCATGTATCTGTTTATCTATCTACTTTAGCATTTAATTTTGATCAATACATCTAAACATCCATTTAAGAATGATGAAAAACACCGAACCTATTGCCGTTTACAAGTCTTACTCTGTAGATGTATGTTATGCCTGCTCTGAACTGGTAATCAAGTGGTAATAATTGTTACATGAAGCGAATCCCAAGGCGTAACGAAATCTATGAAGCTTCTAATATGAAAATAAAATTGATATGTTATAGTGACACATTCAGAAACAATTACGCAACTAAATGAAAGTCTTAACGATCTCAAGGAAAAGTTAGTAATAAAAGAAGGAAACTGGAGCATTATTTGAATTATCAGAGGGAATTGCATGGCGAACCTTGCAGGCAAAGACAGTAGGACACCCACACAAAGTTAGTCCATTCATTCTGTCTAGAATATCAAATACGCCTCTGCCATCACTCCTCTGCAACAACACCCTATTAGTGTCTACCAAATTTGGGGACATTTATAACAATAAAAAAAGGAATACTTACATACATACCACTCAATTCTCATGTATTTACATATCTAACATCTAAACTTGAATTTCTACATACAGACCACCTTAGGTGTATTTAACTTTTTAAAAGCTAAAATTGTGGTATTTTTTTATGTGATATAAAAGATTTTGGGTGGTATAATTTAAAAAGCAAAATTTAGGTGTTAGATATGTAAATACATAGGAATTGAGTCCTATGCAAGTAAATGCCTAAAAAAAATCCAAATTTACCATTACCATGTAAAAGTTGACTGCAAGGAAGTTGGGCATTAGCTTTTCAGCAGCCTTGTAACAGACATTAACCATTTCAGTAAGTCCGGAAGAATGCTCATTGCAAGCATCATTCTGGACAGGTATTGTTGTAAAATAATTTTGCAAGAATAGAGAGGCATATCTAGAATTCAATGGTTCAGATTCCCTCCGATTCGGACACGAGCCTGGCACTATGCCCGGATCTCCGGCTGCAGAGACAATAAATTGCAAATAAGCAAAGAAGTAATCTTCTAAAAGCAGTACTGAAAATGATATGAAGAGCGACAACAAGTTTATACTGAGAGTTCATTCCGTTGTTCGTAAATGAAAAATATAATTTAGAAAATGATAAGCCTACCTCCCTGAGGCAAGCCTCTGGCCCTCAACAAAGGTGCAACCATTTGCGAAGCCACAACCACTTTAAGTGTCAAGACATGATCGAATCCATATACAATCTCAACAACTCAACAAAGCAATTGAGATTACCATGAAGCTAAAAGACAAACAAAAATATTCAACTAAGAGACAAGTCTGACATCAGTTATTACAAGTCCCCATACTAAAGCAAAATGACTTGACAAACAATTTTTCAAATAACGCAAAAGTACTTTAAATCATCATTGATTAAATAATTCCAAGCAAAAAAATCTATCTTTATTCAAAAATAACAGGAAGAACCAATGAAACTGAAATGTTTGACTACAAGGTCCAACTGGGGAAGCATTCCAGCTAACAGTAAAAGAGCATCCTCTAAACAGAAGCCTAAGCAACTAGGTGTTCACCTGGAAGAAGACGCCAGTTTGGGGAGTTGACTCTAGCTAGAAAAATAACTGAATCCCCTAAGCAAATAAGCCAACTTCCAAAAGGGATGTGCATGAATAAAGAAACATATCACAAACAAAGAGATAAATGTTAACAGAGGTGATAGCTACATAACATATTAGCATAAGAAAAAGATGGCAAAAAAAGGAAGTAAAGGATGAATGAGAAAACAAAAGGAAAAGGTGAAATAGAGAAAAAAAGGAAATAAGTAATATAGAAGGAGAAATTGACAAGGGAATCAAAGAATAAAAAAGAAAGAAGACAAACTTAACAAGAGAAAATGGCAGAATTGCCAAGGAGGGCATAACAAGAGAATGGCTCCTGATGATACACGTCCTAGAATCCATTTGAACACCATAGCAATCAGAATTACTTCCGAACCAACCATAGATCTTTTTTCCTTCATCCATAAAGGAGTATCTTTGCAGTATTAGCCTTGATGCCAAACACAACTCCAGAAACCATGAAGAAGAGACCAGCAACGGTGAATTCCACTGGATCAAACGACATCAGACCATACCATCTAAAAAATGAACTCTGTTCCTAGCAACTTCACTAGATCAGCAGCTTCACAAAATTTGAAACTAATGTTATTGAATGCTTCAAGAGTTTGAACTTGGATAGAAGTCAGAACTAAAGATCGCCTAAGTCTTGGCAGCTGAGCACTATATAAGTCAACAAATTTGAACAATCAACTTTGAAAGATTACCCTCATTTGTGAAGTATCAAATCTATGCTTTATAGAAAAAGTTCTGCACCCGTTTCTTTGGCGAAAGTGCAGGAGTTAGATATCCTTTCCCTATGCCGAAGACAGGGTGGAGATGATATGATAAACTGATGGATGCATAGTCGGCACTAGGGGGTGAGTCAAGTTGAACTAGAGCAATGCCTAACTCAAGCTGAGATCAACAACAACAAAAACATTATCCCACTAAGTGGAGTTGGCTACATGAATCCTTTTCTCCATTGCTCCCTATTTAGTGTCATATTTTCATTTAATTCTAATAAATTAAGATCATTTTTTATACAATATGTCAAAGTCTTCCTAGGTCTACCTCTAACATAACTCGAGCTAAGATCACCAATCAAAATATAAGCTTGAGCTCGAGCTTGATTCACAGCAAGAAAACAGGCTTATGAGCTCAAGCCAAAGCAGAAGTTTTCATGGGAGCTAACCGGAGAAGGCAACAACGTGACCAATGGTTGGAGAAGAAAAATAAATGTTGTCGGAGCTAGAAGGCATAGATGTGACTAGCAGCTGACAAGTCAAGCCCCTTCAAGCTTGAACAAGAGTGGTTGGCTAGTCAAGTTGACTTGCGACCCGGCAAGGCGAGCCTCTATAAGCTCACTAACAAGTTGAATTCGAGCTAACTCACACACCCCTAGTCAGTGCAACCAACAAAGCAAGAATTTATTTCCCATAAGTAATTATGAGTTTTTCACTCTCATATTGTTCAACAAGATTTGCAATAGTTTCATCCACAAATTAAGTTTTTACCTTCTTCAACAAATCCGTAAATGTCAATGCAGAGGTCTTAATTGATAGAGGATATTTTCTTATAGAAATTACATTTTATATTTCCTCCAATCACCAGATATAGATGTGAGACAACTTTTGAAGCTTTTTATGGAAAGAATCAAATCAATAACATCAGGAATTCAAATGTTGAGGAAAAAAGAAGATAGGTCAAGGATATTGAATTTAAAGATCGCGACACACAAGTACAAGGGCACATGTCAGTTGAGATGCTTTTGAAGTCAACAATCTTGATTTAGTCACACACAATAAGTACTAAAGCACCCGGAGCTAGCTAGGCTTATGGCGTTAACATTCTTTTATTCATCCAACCATTCTTTTATTCTTTTCAGTTATGACAAAGAAATGAGAATTAAGGTACTAATGTACACTTTTATTCATCCAAATCAAGTGAATTGAGTTAAAAGATGGACTCAAATTAGGTCAAAATCATAATTCTCTCTCTTGTTCTAAGCTATAAGAATGCCGTGAAATGAAGAAAGAAACTTAGCTCAATAGAACTCAACACTTGATGTTCAACTACCAAACTCAGCTAACAAAGATCCATGAGACTACTACTCATCCAGTGCACAAACAACCATAGCTTATGTCCAATCAATCACCTTCATGGTAGTTTATGTAGTACACCTGAAGCATCAACCTTGGCTCTCACTTATAAATAAAAGATTAATCATGATGTTTGAGGGTGTGAGATTAAGGCCATAAATTACGCCTAATCTTTGTCCTTTTCTCTTTTGTTGCTTTCCGTCCATATGAAATAGTATATTTTAGTTCAATTTTGTTCACCTTCTTCTATGAAGTCTCTAATCAAGTTCATTGTAATAATTCACTTGAGAGGCTAAATATTTTGATCTATCTATGATAAATTGAAAAACTATTAAGCAAGGTTTATAATGGTATCCATCAAACAATAATTGTAAAAATTTAGGATAAATGAGTATGAAATCTACAAATTCAAACAACCAACCCCCCCCCCCCCTCTCTCTCTCTCTCTCTAAATAGTACACATAGATATTGGGAATTAATTGATTTTTAAAAGAAATTTTAAAAGTTGGAAGCCACACCTAATGTTTAAGAAATATAATAGTGCAACATCAATAGATAGAGATGTAAAAGAAATCAATTAGAAGAATAGATAGAGATAAGCCACACCTAATCTAAAAGAAATCAATTAGAAGAATAGATAGAGATGTAAAAGATAAACACGGTGCAATGAAAGAAAAACTTGAAGGAAGAGTGTGTCAACCCTAGGAATATATATGAATATAATAATATCCCTTCTGCATTTTAATGGATGATGTGGATAAATTGAATATATTTTAGTTAAAAACCTAAAATAATAACTAGAAAGATCAAGTAAAAGATGGAGTTATAAGATTTTAAAAGTCACATTAATGTATAAATAGAATCTACTATGCTAAAAAAAATTCTTGTAGTTCTTCTAGATCTATGGCACTTCTAGTGGGAGGATAATATGAAGTTCTTATATACTGCAAGACTTATTTGAATAGTTATTCTATTTAATCAAAATACAAAGGAAAAGCTTTGCAATAATCATTATCCTAATAACATTAAGTTATGCTTACTAGATGACATTAAACTCCTACCAATTCTTTGCTAGGCAAATCTCCCAATCTTTTATTGTATTTATCACTACTAAAAAAGCCCAAATTACATCTATGACCTTATTATCTTGGGAAATGCTGCGATGCAATCAAATTTCAAATAGCTAACTACCAAGAATAAAATAAAATCATAGTCAAGCGGCCCATGAAATTTTAAAATGTACACTTGAAATCAAGATAAATCTGTCAATAATTGTTTAAGGCAAACACATTAAAATCCACATGCAAACTGTTTTATAAGTATATTTTATCAGCAGCCATCAGTTTTTGTACGAACTTACGTTCATTTTCTAGCACATATCTCCACTGATAAGCAATTCCCTCATCAGCTTCCTTCGAGGCAACAGAGGTAAACACTAGTAATCTATAGTTTTTTTCTACCATTTCTGTAATAGTTGGCCAGTCCTTGCCATTTGCGGGCATCTCCGTCAATGGATACAAATATTTCATCAAATCTGCATTAGCAAACAATCTACTCAACCCTTTTGGAGCTCGCACATAATCTTCTATAAAAATGGTTATAATCTCGGTCGGGCTATCAGTCAAGAATGCCTCCACCTCCTTCAGAGTGTTGAATGCAGGTTCCTGATATGCATGGATTAAGACATCATTAAGATGGTCTGTGATCGCTCTATTGAGCTTTCAACTGATCCAACTTGTAAAAGAAAAGGTTAGATACAATCAATTGAAGTTATTTAACCAAATTACGAAAGAGTGGTTAAAAAGCATCGAGAAGAAAATATAGGAGTTCAGATGCTCACAAAAGCAGTGAAATTGTAGCATTGCCCCTGAAATGAATGACAAAGCCAGATATCGCCTTCAAAGTCATACATATCCAGCATTAGCCCTCTCACTCCATTCTATAATCAGTATCATAAACAGAAAAGAAATTAGAATTCAAGCATCAATTCAGACTTTCTAATCGGCCCAATCCGTGGCATAAATATTCGGCACATGAAAGAGAAGTTTATAGCTCATGATTGGGTAAATATATAAATAAAAGATAACAAAAAGTCAAACCAAATAAGCATCAATTATGAAGGCCATCAATTATCAGTGTTCAAAGCATAAGCTACCTCTCCCATGAAGACTATCAATTATTTTCTTTAAAACATATTTCTAGCTTGAATAAAGATCTGCTGTACAAACATACTAAATTGACTAAAAGTCACATATAATGAGCTCAAAATATATATGATCATGTTGCATGGCCAGTAAATACATCGCCCACTAGTTCTCCCAGATATTAAATAACAAACCATTATTAGATTGCACCCTATGACATATACTTACATGCGAGCAATGATGCAAATTTGGGAGGAATTGATGCAAATCCGGAAGGAAATATGAAGGCGGATATCAACGCAAAGGCAAATCCGGTCCGGAAGAAAATTTGGAGGCGGATATCAACGCAAAGGCAGATCCGGAAGGGTGATAATTTAATTCCATAATCCGTGCAATCACAAAGGAGTTTCGGAAAGTTAGCGAAGGTGTTTTAAAAAGTTAGCATTTTTTGAAGCTAATTACTTAGATTCTGTATTTTATTATGTTAAATTTATTGCTTTCGTAATTTGAATTCCTAGTTATTGTTTTCCCAGTTTGATGAGAAAATAATATTTATTGCTTTCTGTCGAGATATGTCTGAGATAGAAATAAGGTTGGGAGAATTAATTGGTAATGTCTGAGATGGAAATAAGGTTGGGAGAATTAATTGGTACTCCCTTAAATTGAGGAAATTATAATTAATTTGTAATCCCTTAAATTAAGGGAATTAGTGAAATAGTTTCCTAGTTTTTTCTACTTGTAATCTCCCATATAATACATTGTATTATCAATTCAAAGAAGTAAGTGAACTACAAAATTATTTCACTGATTTCCCACATGGTATCAGAGCCAGGGCTCAAACCCTAGAGGACACCGCCGCCTGTTGCCGCCATTCAATCCTTTCCGCTTAGGGTCATTCGGCTCTCCTCCGCTATTCTCATCTAGGGTTGCTTGCTGCTCACGAGGAAGATCGTCAAGAAGCGCGTAAAGAAGCAGATCTTGCGATCGCTCTGAGGATTCTTTTGCCGCTGA